GATTTTTATTAATTGATTTTTTTTTATTGCTTTGAACTTGGAAGCAATGTTAGGTAGTGTTGCGAATTAATGGCAATCTAATTGTGGGAATAAATGATTAACTTAAAATAGAGTCATTTTTTGTACATTCTGGGTACTCAAACGTAGTAATTAATATATACATATTGTTACGCTGGTAAAAGTAACGCCATCTATCGCCGAATAGTCGAACGAATATCGAAGGATCTAGTAGCATCTAGAACGCTCGAGAAGTACAACGCCATCTATTGTCAGATAGCTGAAACACACAATACTAGTCTTTTGTGGAATTATCGTCGATTCTAGGGATTTCTTCTGGACTATAAAAGCGTTGCAGGGATGTCACGCAGTCAGTAATCGGAACTACTCGAAGCGAAACAGCGAACGGATCACCTGAAGCGAAGCGGAACAAGCGAATTGAGAGTTTTAAAGTGTTTGTTAAGTGTTTAAAGTGTTCTAAGTGTTGAGTACAGTGTACACTTGTAATTCCGTAGAATTTTATTTATCCCGAACTCTAGGGCGTGACAATATCATCATCATTGTTATCATAGTCGGTTACTCTTGGCAGAGCAGTCGCGGTCATGTGGGATCCTTGTTTATTAAAGCCTTGACAGATGTTCTCCATAGTTCGCGAACTGAGGCTTGGCGCACGCATTCGTTAAGTGGGGTTCTGGTAAAGTCTTTCACTTGATCAGTCCAGCGCATGGGGCTTCGTCCACGAGACCACTTTCTATCGCGGAGATATACATATCGACGCTTGGAAGGCAAACGTGACTAAGTGACAATGCGTGAACTTTACAGTAGACTAATTTAAAGTTGAAATACCTGAAAAAAAAATCTATTTTAACGAATCTAGCTGTAGGATTGAAATTATTTTAATAGACCTAGAAATATATTTTTTTGCGCATCGAATATGGTTATTGCCTATCATTTGTAAAATGTATAAAGCAGTTATTGTCGCTTAGTCACGTTTGACTTTCAAGCNTAAGTGACAATGCGTGAACTTTACAGTAGACTAATTTAAAGTTGAAATACCTGAAAAAAAAATCTATTTTAACGAATCTAGCTGTAGGATTGAAATTATTTTAATAGACCTAGAAATATATTTTTTTGCGCATCGAATATGGTTATTGCCTATCATTTGTAAAATGTATAAAGCAGTTATTGTCGCTTAGTCACGTTTGACTTTCAAGCGTCGATATGACATAATATATATTGAAAACTGGAGCGATACCCGGGATGTGGAAATTTAATTTATCCGCGTCAACTTTACCAGTCTTGGAGACTATATTAACACTTTTAGTACCGAGCTTCTTCTTCTTTTTCTCCACCTTATCCCACTAGGTGGGGTCGGCATAGCTAATTTTTCTCTTCCATTCTCTTCTATCAGCCGTCATCTCAACACTCACTCTTCTCTCTCTCTCTCTCATATCGTCATTAACACACTCCATCCGTGTCTTCTTCGGTCGACCACTTCCCCCTCGACTTTGCACTACCATTTCCATACATGTCCTAGTCACATGCATCTTCTCTCTGCGCATCACACGTCCATACCACGCTAAGCGTCCGCTCTTTAATTTGTTAATTACCGGAGCTTATATTCACAAAATATATTGCAGAAATTACTAAAGGAAGCTTAAAAAAATTACTTATAAAAAAAATATTAAAAAAATACAAAAATCAAGGTTAAATTCGCAGCAACATAATTTTATAACGTTATTTATAAAATTTTATTAGCTTACTAAAAACGATCTAATTATATACTACATGCGCGCATTAAGATACGTCCGTACAAGTCTATAACTAATACCTGTAATCAAACTACGTAGTAGTCAGTATTCCGACGCACTGCACTTTATACTCATTAATAGACAATCTATCTATCGACGGTCGCGCTCAAAGGTTACATAATAGCTATTGCATAGATTATACACTTAATATTTGAGATAGCTATTGGCTCTAAATAACTCGTCTGCAAATGCTGTCCCTTGAACAATTATTTGAGTTTATTACCTAGCCAGGTAATAAAAAAATAGTAAAAATAGTTGAAAAACATCTATTTATATTCTTGTGGTCGGGAAACACTAAAACTATGAGATAACTTCGACAGAATATAATGTCCGGCTTATGTATTTTTTTTTATTTTTTTTATTGCTTAGATGAATGGACGAGCTCACAGCCCACCTGGTGTTAAGTGGTTACTGGAGCCCATAGACATCTACAACGTAAATGCGTCACCCACCTTGAGATATAAGTTCTAAGGTCTCAAGTATGGTTACAATGGCTGCCCCACCGTTCAAACCGAAACGCATTACTGCTTCACGGCAGAAATAGGCAGGGTGGTGGTACCTACCCGCGCGGACTCACAAGATGTCCTACCACCAGTAAAGTGGTAGCATTTATATTTAATTTTTAAGTACCAAACAAGGTGATGATGACCATTAGTCAACGTCGTATGAAAAGTGTTGTTACGCGCAAGGGTTTGGGATAAATAAAAAATCTACCGAAGTACAAATTAAAACTGTATTAACACTTAGGACACTTAAAACACTTGACGAACACTTTAAAATTCTCAATTCACTTCTTCCGCTTCGCTTCAGGTAATCCGTTCGCTGTTTCGCTTCCAGTAGATCCGATTACTAACTCCCTCATTACTGCGACGCTTTTATAGTTGATACGACATCCCTAGAATTATCGAGAACATTCCTCACAAGTCGAGCATTTTCGATATGCGTTTCCGCCATTTGATAATAGATGGCGTTGTACTTATCGAGCGTTCTCGCCGTTACTAGTTCCATTGACATTCGTTTCGACTATTCGGCGATAGATGGCGTTACTCTTACCATCGTAGCAGTGTGGTTCGCCTGGTGAGTCCTCCTCGTCTTCGTCCTTTATCAGGACACTCCTTCGTCAGCTCAGATAATGTGTTCAATTATTGAATCTTACGGAAAGCACTAGAAATTGGATGTATACTCCGACAGCTATGACATGTCCTTCTACAAACAAGGCTTGTGGAGAGAGTACTTAACGGTAGGCGGCAGGTTGGCTGTGTCCCTGGCATTGCTGAAATTCATTGGCAACCGTAACCGCTGACCATCAGTGTGCTTAGTGCGAGTTTTTTAACGTACTCGATAGCGTAAAAGTTAAATCAAATTTGTATGCAGTTGGAACAGCGCCCCTAGTAAGTAGGGATACCAAGGAATATTACCAATTAGTAATACCTAGGAATTGTATACATTACTTAGGTAAAATAATATTCATAATATTACATATATTACCTTAACGCTTTAGGTATTCTATATATCGCCTAGGCATTGTATAGAATACCGTATTATACAGATTGCCGGTAACATATATAATTTGAAACAATTTTAAAAATTGTTACTGGTGGTAGGACCTCTTGTGAGTCCGCGCGGGTGGGTACCACCACCCTGCCTATTTCTACCGTGAAGCAGTAATGCATTTCGGTTTGAAGGGTGGGGCAGGCGTTATAACTATACGTTAGACCTTAGAACTTATATCTCAAGGTGGGTGGCGCATTTACGTTGTGGATGTCTATGGGCTCCAGTAACCACTTAACACCAGGTGGGCTGTGAGCTCGTCCAACCATCTAAGCAATAAAAAAAATAAAAAAAAATTCAACTTTTCGCATACATTACTTTTTTTCGTGGATATCAGCGATGAATTAGGTACGTTTTTCTGTTCCTAATTATTACTCAATGTAATTTTAGATTATATCTAATGTTATTCGAACTAATAATGATGTTCTATTATTCGCGGTAATGACTCGCTTAATGTAGGTATTCCAGCAGCCGTGAACGTTGTGGTATTATTTTGTATTTAGAGTTTGAAGGTAGGACACGGGTCGCGGGCTCTATCTGCCTCAGCAGGCCTGTTCATATCCTTGTTAAGATTGTACATTGCTACAGTGAAAAATATCCGGAGAAATTATGATTAATTTTTGACCGTTTAATTAGGTATTTATCTATCTATACTATTTATTTGTCTCTCGGTGACGACTGACTCAGTGGTAGTGAGCGCAGAGGGTCGTGAGTTCGATTTTGGCTTCGGGCAAAATTCGTGTGATGAACAGGTTTGTTTTTTTTTTGTTTTTTTTTTATTGCTTAGATGGGTGGGCGAGCTCACAGCCTACCTGGTGCTAAGTGGTTACTGGAGCCCATAGACATCTACAACGTAAATGCTTGCAGGTCGAACTCTTCGTCGAAAATAACAATCATATGAATAGTGTTGGAACATTTAGAGAGAAAACGCACAAATATATTCATGTTTAATTATGTAAATTTATAATCATACATCAATATTATTTTATAAAAACCGATTGCTTTATTGTGACCGATCTTAGCGTTGAATTTTTAACGGTAGACAGTGGCGTGGCTCAGCCCCTGGCATTGCTGATGTCCATGGGCGACGGTAACCACTCATCATCAGGTGGTCGGTACGCTCGTCTGGTTCAGAGGCAATAAAATAAAAAAACTCCGAGGGGTTATATTTGATCTACGCAGCACATGGGAGACATATTGCGTGGTATTTTCCGGACCATACCAATAAAGTTGTTCTATACTTCATTGTTCTATACTCTGCATATATACTGTGTTACTTATAATATTTTGTATTCAAGTTTAACAAGATTTGCTATGTGTATGTGCATTACTATAATTCTCATGTTGTTTTGTTATTTTAGCTGTTCTACACACACTCATCACTTTTAAAAATATTATTCTCATAATCCTCTCGCAGATCTGCTGGAAGAGATTTCTTAAAGACATAAGCAGCGCCTTTGTACATAATTTTCCAATTACTCTGTACTATGTCTTGTTTTTTGTGTGTACATAAATAAATAAATAAAATAAAATAAATAAATATAGTTTTTCTAAGCCCTACGGAACACTACGGGCGACTTGTCCAAAGCTTACAACCGCTCTTTCAACTGTAGTGGGATAATTCCGAATTCTCTTTTTCAGGAAAATGTCGAGGATCACGTCAACCCTGAGGACAGTGCTGGTGCTAGCTTCCATCAACATAGCGACGGGAATTTCATATGTTCCTAAAGCGGATATAGGATATCCGGCCGGCTTGTTACCTGAATGTATGTTATCTTTTGTTATTTCCACTGGGTTTAGCTGGGCCGACCGAAAGCTGGTGGTGGTGGTGGTAAACCATCAATGAAGGTCATCTAACCCTTAAAACCGGATTACATGATTGCGTCGCGGTAGAAACAGGCGTGATGGTGGTACCGGCTCGTAGGGGATCACTGGACGCTCTATCATCAGATTCAACGTCTTCTGACTCTGCTCATAAAGTAAATATGGGGCATATATAAAGTAAACAGACTTAACACATAGTCAAATAAATATATAAATGCGTACAAACCGAATCATCTACAAAGCATCATGAATATTTATAAACTGTACACATATTATGTGCTTCTTATTATTATAATAAACATTCTATATTATAGATCTTATGATCATTCTGTATAAAGCAACATAATATACAACTTGTCGTACTATCTTTTTTAGAATTTCCCTATACGGAAACACTTTTTTACTGGTGGTAGGACCTGTTGTGAGTCCGCGCGGGTAGGTACCACCGCCCTGCCTATTTCTGCCGTGAAGCAGTAATGCGTTTCGGTTTGAAGGGCGGGGCAGCCGTTGTAACTATACTGAGACCTTACAACTTATATCTCAAGGTGGGTGGCGCATTTACGTTGTAGATGTCTATGGGCTCCAGTAACCACTTAACACCAGGTGGGCTGTGACCTCGTCCAGCCATCTAAGCAACAACAAAAAACTTGAGTGGAAGAGATCGTTATCTATATATTAATACGTGAAGCAAAAACTTTGTATCCCTTTTTACGAAAATTGCACGGACGGAGTAGTATGAAATTTTCCACACTTATACAGAATATAGAGAAGAAGTGCACAATGCTAATATTTTTTTTATATAATGTATAAAAGATACTTTAAATCAATAAAGTTAACATTACACACACTACCATGTATTTGATACAGCACATACATAAAAATATACTTTTTGTTTACCTATTGTCAATTGGGAAACTTTTGTTATTGTTGAAAGTCTGTGGTCGAATTGAAAATAGATTATTATTGTTTGTCTTTAATATTATTGGTCTATAGTGCAGTTTTGGCGAACACTGTGATTATATTATCGAAATATAATAGTGTTTGACAATAGAACCATAATAATGTTTAGACTTATTTTTTCAATTAATTATAGTCGACTACTGCGGGGCCACTAGTAGCGATAATAGCACTGAATTTTGAGATTTTTATTTTGATGGGCAAAAAAGCAATCTCTCTCTCTCTCTTTCTCTCTCTCTCTCTCTCTCTCTCTCTCTCTCTCTCTCTCTCTCTCTCTTTCTCTCTCTCTCTCTCTTTCGTATTTTACGCAAGTGGTTATCTGGTATTTTAATGAACTGACTTTTCTAAGCACCTGTAAGTAAGGTTTACATATTTTTCACGTGAAGACCATGAATTTCTGGTAAGATATATATCTGAGCGTTCATGAGTTTCCTCAAACGAGGTCCGAGAAAGCTTTTCGTTTCGGCACAAGTAAAGCTACAAATTCCTTTTTTATTTTTTGCTTAGATGTGTGGACGAGCTCACAGCCCACCTGGTGTTAAGTGGTTACTGGAGCCCATAGACATCTAGAACGGAAATGCGCCACCAACCTTGAGATATAAGTTCTAAGGTCTCAAGTATAGACACAAGACGTCCTGCAACCAAAAAATTACGCAAATTACGTGTTTGTTAATTAAAAAAAAAAACAATCAATCGTTTGATATTTTTATATATATATTTTTTGTTAATCCTTTTTTTCTATTAAATTTAATTAAAGACACATACTTAAGTTTGTTCACACTCCACGCGCGTTGTCGAGTGATCGTCAAATATTTGTTGAGTCATAGATTGCGAGGGAACCTCAACCTTCCGTGTGCGTACCTGGTGTTCAAACAACAATCCATATCGCCATCCAAGATAACGGTCTCGCGTTTTTTTTTATTGCTTAGATGGGTTGACGAGCTCACAGCCCACCTGGTGTTAAGTGGTTACTGGAGCCCATAGACATCCACAACGTAAATGCGCCACCCACCTTGAGATACAGGTTCTAAGGTCTCAAGTATAGTTACAACGGCTGCCCCGCCCTTCAAACCGAAACGCATTACTGCTTCACGGCAGAAATAGGCAGGGTGGTGGTACCCGCCCGTGCGGACTCACAAGAGGTCCTACCACCTGTAATTACGCAAATTATAATTTTGCGGGTTTCTTTTTTTATTACACGATGTTATTCCTTCACCGTAGAAGTCAATCGTGAGCATTTATTGAGTACGTATTTCATTACAAAAATTGGTACCCGCCTGCGGGATTCGAACACCGGTGCATCGCTTCAACACGAATGCACCGGACGTCTTATTCGTTATGCCACGACGACTACAAATACACTACACACTCTTTGTAAATGTGGAACATTAAAACTGATCTGTTGCTGTTTGAACTCATCGCGGCCTTCACGATAAGTCGCCCTTACTGGTGGTAGGACGTCTTGTCAGCTCGCAAGGGTGGGTTGGTGCCCCACCCTGCCTATTTCTGCCGTGAAGCTGCAATGCGTTTCGGTTTGGAGGGTGGGGCAGCCGTTGTACTGTAAAATTGAGATTTTTTGATTGCCCTTCTAGGCAAATTAATGAATTGTAAAAAAAGCGTGGGCAGCTTTTCAGGATATTATCAAAATAACCCTTCTACTCGTATCTGTTCATAGAATATTTATAACTACATATTGATTGATATCATGCACCCCACGCTTTTTTTTACAATAAAATCATTTTTTCTTACACGGTTTTTAATTCAGATTTATTAAAAATTTATTTTCTATTTATTAGTTGGATTTTCTATAAAAGCGGTTTTTTTTTAGTTTTTTTTTAAACTATTATTTATCTTTAATTTTTTAGTTAAATTTCAATTTTAAAATGTTTTTTTTTTCAATTTTACAAAAAATTCATCTGAATCAGTCGGTAACTTATCCGAGAAATAGGTGATCGGCGCGCCTGGTAGTTTCCCTTCTTGGTCTTGACGCAGACATTCCGGGTCTCAGGAAAACAAAAAAACGCTAATCCTGATTATCCTAGTAAGGATAACGGATCAAACTGTTTAAAATATTGAATTGTCATCGGTTCTTAATAAATATGCCAAATTTCGATTTAATCCGACGTTTTTAAGAGAGTCAAAATCATGTTCAAAGATTCCGTTACATACTAACATACGTATGAAGCTATTAATAGCGTATTATAAACACATCAATTTCGTTTTATTACGGATGCTACGGAGCTACATAAATTATTAGTATTTGCAAAAAAACTAAAAATTCAATTAAAATCATAGATTTCCTTATTGGCAGACGTTGCATTCAAAACCATCACTTCTATAAATAATAAACAAATGAATTCGGAAACAATTTCAATGCCACATATTATTATATGCGTATTAATACATACTAGTGGTCCCGCAGTAGTCGAAATTCGACTATAATTAATTGGAATTGTAAGTTTGTACACTATTATGATTGTATTTTATACTTCTACTAGCGAACCCGGCGAACTTTGTTCCGCCTTAGAGGCAATAAATGAGCAGACTTTTGATCAAGGTCAATTTTTTATTTGGATATAATTAATGTAAATTAAAAAAGCAAGTATTTTAATGATTACTTACTTTACTGGTGGTAGGACCTCTTGTGAGTCCGCACGGGTAGGTACCACCGCCCCGCCTATTTCTGCCGTGAAGCAGTAATGCGTTTCGGTTTGAAGGGTGGGGCAGCCGTTGTAACTATACTGAGACCTGAGAACTATATCTCAAGGTGTGTGGCGCATTTACGTTGTAGATGTCTATGGGCTCCAGTAACCACTTAACACCAGGTGGGCTGTGAGCTCGTCCACACATCCAAGCAATAAAAAAAAAAGATTCTTTATTGGCCATGTATTTTAGTTATTATTATTATATTTTCTTGTTCTTCTTCAGTCCTTTCACTCGCAAAGCTTCGAATCCTAGTTGCATTACGGTTTCGTCGGGAAAGATTTGATCGTGTTGGTCGCGGCGTGGCTTTCTTAATAATTACCTATCTCGGCACTATAAGCTAATAGAAACTCGAAATAAACAAATCAACCGGTCATCTTCAAAATTCTACTATAATTAACCAGAAACTACATTACGTTTAGCTGTCAGTTGCGTTTTGTTATTCCATATCTGTTGCGTTTTGTTATAACACATTTTATGTCACATCCCACAGAAACGTAATAAAAAGTATCCTATGTCCTTCTCCTGATCCTAAGCTACCTCCCCACCAAATTTTCAGCCAAATCAGTTCAGCCGTTCTTGAGTTATAAATAGTGTAACTAACACGACTTTCTTTTATATATATAGATAATCACAAATTTCGCCAAGGCTACACTATAAAAAAATATTAATAAAGACAAACAATATTTAATCTATTCTCAATTTTACCACAGACGTCAAGAACAAAAGTTTGACAATAAATAGTATGCATGCGTGTGTGCGTCAAATACATGGTATGTAGTGTGTGTAATGTTTTCTTTATTGATTTAAAGTATCTTTTATGCATTATTTAAAAAAAATATTGGCATTGTGCACTTCTCCCCTGTATTCTCTATAAGTGTAAATTTTTTACTCCAAAATTTCATACTCCTCCGTCCGCGCAATTTTCGTAAAAAAGGATACAAAGTTTTTGCTTCACGTATTAATTTAGAGATTTCATTTTACAAATGATTTTTGTTTTCGCTCACTTCAAAACAGTACATTCTCTTTTCAACCTTAAATTTTTAATTGAAAGACAAAATTAAGGTTCGTCGACATTCCAACTTCGTCAATTTTTTCATTTTTTTATTGCTCAGATGGGTGAACGTGCTCACAGCTCACCTGGTGTTAAGTGGTTACTGGAGCCCATAGACATTTACGACGTAAATGCACCACCCACCTTGAATTTTGTATTTCTGGACCGAATTATAATGGCTCTATTATCTAAATAATCTACGTATTTATTTATTTCTTTATTTATTTATTTTAATCACACTTTACTTATCCTTTAAATACATAATTTCATTTCCCGATCCATTTAGTTGCAATAAACATTACTATTGAACCCGTGGTTCCCATAATAAGCAAACCCCCTATGTCGCAACTAGATCATAGTGACGTGGGTCATAAACAAATTGCCGTATTTGCCCCCATGGCAAGGCACAAGGAATATTGTGGTTTTTTTTTGAACAGGTGTCGAACCTCATAAGGTGTCCCTGCATATGGGTCACGCGGGGTACGTGGAAGTTGATGGGATTCCTTAACTCCGATATTGATGAGTTAAGGGAGCCCTTCGTCAGCATTCGTCTTGTGAAGTCTGTGGATTGCTTTCACTACTCTACGGCAGGTAGAGGTCCTGGTGGTAGGACCTCTTGTGAGTCCGCGCGGGTAGGTACCACCGCCCTGCCTATTTCTGCCGTGAAGCAGTAATGCGTTTCGGTTTGAAGGGTGGGGCAGCCGTTTTAACTATACTTGAGACCTTAGAACTTATATCTCAAGGTGGGTGGCGCATTTACGTTGTGGATGTCTATGGACTACAGTAACCACTTAACACCAGGCTATTTTTTTTTCACTTAACAGTTTGTTCGTTGAGCGTAAAACAATTTCAAAAAGCAATATCCAAATTAATAAATTAACTTGTCTTAAAAACCTCCATGAAATTTTGTTATCAAATCAATTTTTTGTTACGCTCCTTCGAGTTTTTTTTTACTTTATGATTTAAAATAGATGTTCTAGTCTAGAGGTCGAATCCGTTCATAAGCTATTCGTGAAAAATGTAGATTCGACTTTGTACTTCGCAAGAAAAGAACTATTTCTCTGCGCAATGTGTATACTGTGTCAATGTCAACAACGCGCTTCGTAAGGGCAAATTATTTTATAATTTCTAAGGCTTCTTATTTATATACGCGACACAGTGCTCTGGTTTATGTTACAAATAAATACCTATAGTCGAATGCTATGTTCAGAGTAAAAGGTGATATAGTCTGTGGTAGACACGAAAATCCCGCCAAAAACGAAAACACGTCAAATGGTACGTTCAATAGAAATGCGAATCTCTTGAGAGTCCGCGCGGGTAGGTACCACCGCCCTGCCTATTTCTGCCGTGAAGCAGTAATGCGTTTCGGTTTGAGGGTGGGGCAGCCGTTGTAACTATACTTGAGACCTCAGAACTTATATCTCAAGATGGATGGCGCATTTACGTTGTAGATGTCTATGGGCTCCAGTAACCACTTAACATCATGTGGGCTGTGAGCTCGTCCATCCACCTAGCAATAAAAAAACAGCTTCATTTAAGTTTACACACCTTTCAAATTTATATAATATATATATAATATAGGTTTTTGTTATGATATTTTTTCTAAATTTTAACCTTTAAATGGCTCTGCTGTAATGCAAAAATATCTCATAAACCGAATGAATAGCCTTTCTTCACCCCTCGATTCAATCAATAGTTTACTCAGTTGATATATTTTTTAATATTATTATGTGCATTTAAAACTACTTTTACAGTTTGATATCGGGTTTACTATTTTTGAAGTTATACTTCTTTAGGCGCGTTATGAAAAATTGATGATAGTGAAATTTTACGATGCGCGCGCACCGTGACACAAAATTAACAGAATGAAGTTACTAACACTAAATCGCTCATTACAATACGACCGACGTAACTTGGCGAGTCTGAATATAGCCGCAGGTGAACTTTCGCGCATGTACACTCGTAAAAAAAAGTGTTATTAGCATTCATTTTTTAGTAATATAAATGACAAAATTATTATTTAATAAATATTACTAAATTATTAACGTTAAATATTTATTATTAATTATTTAATATTTAAAAAAAAAAGAAATAAATTTAATAAAAATAAAGTATAACTTCTTACGCGCGTACATAAGTACACGCACCCTTTTTTTTTGTATAAATTAAATTGGATGTAAAATTAAAAATCCTTTTTTGTTACTTATCAGCTAGAGACTTATCGAATCTGATGTTAGGGTGTTTTGGGGCAGTGGAATAACAAAATTTGCACTTATGAATTAGTGGCGTCACCGCCATAGAGGCATGGATGCGCGAGTCAGAAAACAAAATGTAACTATTTTAGTGCTTTGGTGGGTAGACAAGCTCACGGCCAACCTAGTGTTAAGTGGTTACCGGAGCCCATAGACGTCTCTGACGTAAATGCCGTCACTTACCACGAGACATAAGTTCTAAGGTCTCAGTTTTTACAGTACAACGGCTGTCTGCCCCACCCTTCAAGCCGAAACGCATTACTGCTTCACGGTGGAAATAAGCAGGGTAGTGGTACCTACCCGTGCGGACTTACAATACGTCCTACCACCGGTACCTAGAAATGTCTTGAGAATATAATATATAATTAATACAATTACTACTAATTGGGTTGATATTTTGAATGTATCATATGTTTTTATAACTATTCACTATTCCGTGTTAATAATATTAAGCAAAATATAATAAAGGAAGCTTCAAAAAAATAAAACATTTATAAACTTATAATTATTTTATACATTAATTGTAATTTTAATAATTATAACTTCAACGTGACTAATTATTTTTCAGTCTTATCGACAAGAGCGATCTCTTTCAGACAACCGCGGTGTACTTATCGATTGAAAATACAATATATTTATAAATATATAAATATCAAAAATATTATGATAACATTACCACTAAATACTAAAAAAAACACAGACGCTCATCTTAATAGCATTCGATCATGAATTAGAAGTAATCATACATTATATTACAATTAATCTAGAAGAAATCTAAAAAGTTATTTTATGATAATTCAAATTATCTTAGTCCTCCGTGACCACGGGATCTTGGGTTTGAGGGTTTGAAAAATGTGAAACACGTAAAATTGTGATAACTAGCCCACTGAGTTTCTCGCCGGATCTTCTCAGTGGGTCGCGTTTCCGATCCGGTGGTGGATTCTGCGAAGCACGGCTCTTGCTAGGGTTCGTGTTAGCAACGTCATCAGGTTTGAACCCCGTGAGCTCACCTACTAGTTAAGGCGACGCTGATATAGCCTCTCAAGGCTATCAGCTTAGGTAGGAAAAAAAAGTGATAACAAATCCAAGTGTTTAACACATTTGGGTTTGCGACCCTAATTTTGACCTCCCTTTTTAAGTTTCGTGAACGACCTCACGACCCACCTTAATTGTTTACATTAAGTGGCTACCGGAGCCTATGGAAATGCCAGGCGCTACCTCGAGACATCGATATCTCAATTGTCTCTACATGGTATGGTAGGCAGCGGCTTGGCTCTGCCCCTGGCATTGCTGACGTCTATGAGCGACGGTGATCACTTACCATCAGGTGGGCCGTATGCTCGTCTGCCCACAAAGGCGATAAAAAAAATCTTTCAAGTCGGAACGCATGACTGATGTCAGAGATATTGATACCTGTTCAAAATAATAGCAAGTGCTGAGATAATTCTGGAACTTCCAACGAGGGAATGAATGAATGCTCCTCTTTGCTTCGTTTTCCTCAATGCTGAGGGTGGTGACCGACCTTCTCTATGATTTTCTCTCGCACGAAATTTTCTCCATCTGTTTTTGTGTGGAGGGCGTTGTGAAATGTGGAATCAAGAGCGTACCCGCAAGAGGGCTCCGCACCAGAGGCCTTTTCCCATCCACTCAATGAACCAACAAGTCTTATTTTATCCGTCCAGGTCCAGGAGTTCAGAAGAACGCCACAATCAGCGCTCGGATGCTGCCGAACTTGAAAATCACCCTGCACAAAATCCTTCCAAACGGACTGATCAGCAGACAGCTGGTGCCGATCGGGACTGCACCCAAGATCGTGGCCAAAGATAAAAGTTACGGTGAGTTCTGTCTTTGAAGGGAAACTTCTTTACGCACGCTTGATTTGAGGAGTAAGCTGGTGAATGCGTGACGAGAGCATTACGAGAAATATGATCGGGCGAGACGAACGGAAGTTGAGAGGGCAATAATATATATATATATATATATATATCTATATTATTGCTTAGATTTATGGACGAGCTCACAGCCCACCTGGTGTTAAGTGGTTACTGGAGCCCATAGACATCTAGAACGTAAATGCGCCACACACCTTGAGATATAAGTTGTAAGGTCTCAGTGTAGTTACAACGGCTGCTCCACCCTTCAAACCGAAACGCATTACTGCTTCACGGCAGAAATAGGCGGGGCGGTGATACCTACCCGTGCGGACTCACAAGAGGTCCTACCACCAGTGTAAATATTAATTACTAGCTTTTGCCCGCGACTCCGTCCGTGGAATAGTTACTTTGGCATAACACTAAATTTTACCCCCCCACTTCATTTACGTAGAAAGTGAAGATATTTTGAAACATTCTTTACTGGTGCTCCACATAAGTAATATCGATATAAATCGGTCTCATGATGTTTTATAGCATATAGCCTTCCTCAATAAATGGGCTATCTAACACTGAAATAATTTTTGAAATCGGACCAGTAGCTCCTAAGATTAGCGCGTTCAAACAAACATACTCTTCAGCTTTATAATATTATTAGTATAGATAATTAAATTAAAATATAAATGTATATACTATACACACACACACACACACACACACATATATATATATATATATAGAGAGAGTGTTAACTATGAATGTGGAAGGATATAGAGGAAGAGGTAGACCTAAGAAGAAATGGTATATGATAGAAGAGCATGGAAGGAGAAAACATGTTGCGCCGACCCCAGGTGATTGGCAGAAGGGCAGGATAATGATGATATATATACTTAAAGATGGAACTAAAATATGTTTTACTTCAGTCGTGTGGTCTAAAGTACACTCGTTTTATTTATTTATTTATTTATTTATGACATCGCTTAAAAGAATAGGAATGTTATTTTGTATTGCATTCAATTCTCATACAAACAGCACTAATGAGCTAGTTACCTTCCGGCAAATCAAAAAGAGTGTTATGAAAACTACTGGTGGTAGGACCTCTTGTGAGTCCGCGTGGGTAGGTACCACCACCCTGCCTATTTCTGCCCTGAAGCAGTAATGCGTTTTGGTTTGAAGAGTTGAAGCCGTTGTAACTAGGTATATTGAGACCTTAGAACTTATATCTCAAGGTGGGTGGCGCATTAATGTTGTAGATGTCCATGGGCTCCAGTAACCACTTAACATCAGGTAGACTGTGAGCTCGTCCACCCATCTAAGCAATAAAAAAAAACGACCCTCAGACAAGGGGAGCACGACTGGATAAGTGTCAAATTATTTATTGTATCATGTTTACTTACCTCTCATCCGTCGTCATATATAGCGTACTTATAAATTCTGCGAGCTTACATTATAATTAGTTCTTTAAATTTGTATTTTTAATGGTGTTTTGGTAGTTCGTTTATTTCAATTTGGATGTGATGTCATTACAGGCTTATTGTGTGTAGTTAGGCCATAACAGAATCTCATTAATGCAAGGTCAAGATCAAGTCTCTGTTTAATGAGCCAAACGCTAAACTGGTCGAATCCGAGTCCACCAGAAAGCATGATGACAACAAGAAAAATAACATTTTTCTCCTACCTTTTTTTTTGTATTGCTTAGATATGTGGACGAACTCACAGTCCACCTGGTGTTAAGTGGTTACTGGAGCCCATAGATATTTACGACGTAAATGCGCCACCCACCTTGAGATAAATTCTAAGGTCTCAAGTATAGTTACAACGGCTGCCCCATCCTTTAAACCGAAACGCATTAATGCTTCACGGCAGAAATAGGCGGGGTGGTGGTACCTACCCGCGCGGACTCACAGGAGGTCCTACCACCAGTAATTACGCAAATTAAAATTTGCGGGTTTGATTTTTATTACACGATGTTATTCCTTCACCGCGGAAGTCAATCGAGAACACTTGTTGAGTACGTATTTCATTAGAAAAATTGGTACCCGCATGCGGGATTCGAACACCGGTGCATCGCTCAACACGAATGCACCGGACGTCTTATCCTTTAGGCCGCGACGACTTTAAGCCGTTTACCTACGCCGAAAGTTCGGTTTTCGTCCCGCTGTACAGGGAAGAAAGTCTAACTTTTCCTCCCTGGGTACTGACAAGTGCGCATGCGCGTTAGTGCCTACGTCTGCTCTCACGCACCTAAAATTCTCGGCCATTGTTGTGCTCGGGTAATTTGCAACATTGTGTTTAGTGTAAAAGTGAAATAAACAAAAGGCAATAAAATTTAATAGCGAAGTATTAAACAAAGATGAGTTCATCAGACAGTTCTTATTGAATTAGTAGTAGTTTATTTAAAAATTAAAAAACAGTTAAATTGTTTTTTTTATGAGTGTCGTGTTGTTTTTATGAATATCGAACTTTCGGCCTGGTAGGAGAAAAAATAGTATGTTTTTTTTTTTTATGGTTGAAATATTATTGGTGGCCCGGAGGCCTTTCCAGTTTCACCAGGACACGTGGGCGAGCAAAGGCTCAGCCAGGAGGGGTGGGATTTGCTAACAGCTCTACCCGAGCGCCTCCGAAGGAGACCTAACAACTCAAGAGTAGCTGCTTCGCGAATGAATCTACTACCGGATCGGAATCGCGACCCGCTGAGAAGATCCGGCGAGAAACTCAGCGAGCTGATTCATGGGTTAGGTTGCACGGCGAACTCTTTGTCGAGTTCGACGAGTACGGTTACCGAGGTCCCTAAGTCTGCTCCTAGAGCTGAAGGCGTCTAGTGCAAAGGTTATTGGATCTGATGGATCCGTAAGGACGTGTCTAGGGCGTCGACGGTGACTGGCTCCTGCATGATCAGGATTCGGGGAGTAGTCAGCGGCGGCTACGATAAGGCGATTATCATGACGCATAGCCTTATCGAAGTACCGTTCCGACGCTGNAATACGTGATTCGCTACAATACAAACAGCTACTAGACTTAACATGTCCGCGGAACTAAACAGCTTCAAACAGCTACTAGACTTAATATGTCCGCGGAACTAAACAGCTACAAACTACAAACAGCTACTAGACTTAACATGTTCGTGGAACTAAACAGTTCCGCGAACATGTTTACTGGAACTAGTTCCGACACTCAAAAGAACGATGTCATGTTCAATCCAGTTCCGAACATGATTAGCGCACGTCTAATTGAAACTATGAACTAATAGGGTCAGTGTGACCAGATTTAAATCGAACATTATGCCAGTTACTCGTATAAATTCTGCTAAAATCTGCTTAGTTTCTATAAATAATTCCAAAATTCTGCTAATAGATAAGGTCATCATTTTTACGAGGATTTAAAAGAATAAAAAAGGCAATTTCAAATATTTATTAACAAATTATAACTTCAAAATTTCTGTGGCGCCCATGTTTTATATGGAACTGTCGAGCTTTGTGCTGCCTTTACCATATTTTTTGATGGCGTAAAATTGACGCATCCACTTTGTTCTTTAACTGCCTGTTTGACATGTAGAATAGCTGCAATATGTTCATTTTTAAATTTGTTCCGCAAGTTTTTTTTTGTTTCTTATTTGAGAAAATAGGCGCTCACAAGCTGTATTAGGCATAGGCAAAATCATCATGGCCTTTGCAAAATCAACCAAGTGCGGATACTACTTAGTTCTATCAGCCTTCGTCATTTTTGAAATGTGGCCCCAAAACATTTCTGTGTTCAAACTCATAGGAGTGGGATTAGAACTTCCTCCAGATTCTAACAGTTTGGATACTGTTCTGTCTAATTTCACCTCCCGATATTCGGACTCAATTGCTTGCATGTTAGATTCTTTAACCAAATTAGGAAATTTAGAAACAGTTCTGGCCAAACTTGTGAATTCTTTGTATAAACCGTTTTGCGGATCAAGAAATTGCAAATTAAGAGTATTACATAACTGAGTGACGATGGCCGACCACTATTTAGGAAATATGTAAACAGTGTTCATTGAACACTACACACAACTTCAAAGCTAAACATTTAACGGGGAATCCCCTAAAATTTGCTTGAGTGCTGGCATTGTTGGAAGAAATACTTGACATTGTTTTACAAAGGTAAAATTCCTCAAATATTTTTAGCGCAACTACCCGAATGACTAAATGGGAAACGCAGTTAGATGTAAATCCTGCTACAATTCTGCGAAGTTTTTATAAGATTCAGCCAAAAAATTCCTTATTTTCAAATCTGCAACACAATCTGCTAAACCTTAAATTGGGGGTCTAATTCTGCTAAAATCGCAGAATTCTGCTAAATCTGGTCACACTGAATAGGGTTTTATTACAATTAATAATTATCTGACTGTGCAGCTAAGGTAAATTAGGTTTCATACATAGATTATACACTTAATATGTTTCATACTTCAGTGGGTAAATGTCACTGAAGTAGGTAAATGTCAACTCCATGACATTCATAGACAACACTCTTCGTCTTTTTTTTGCTTAGGTATGTTACAGCACACTTCACTTTTTTTAAAACTGCTATAATATTATCATTTCAATTTCCTACACTAGCGGTACTTCGGTGAGTCTTCCAACAACAACTTGCTCTTTACAGGTGGTCATTTTTTCAACTTGTCCCCTATACAAAATGATCCTCCTTACTCTTACCCTTCATAGTTACAACAGCATTTAGCAATAGATCTATTTTCCAACATGAAGGGCGAAAGCCGCGAAAGTATCATCAGCCTAATATTTCATTCAAATTCTGGTATATGAAAAGTTATATGGATTGAATAATGATTTTAATGAAATGCGGTAATGTTGTAATCAACTCAAATGAAACGAGATGAGATCGGATGTTAATAAAGTTTCATATAATAAAGTTTCATAGTTAATAAAATTTTGGTTATTTACAGATTCTAGTGGAAGAATTATCTAATCTAGTGGAAGATTACTGGTGGTAGGACCTCTTGTGAGTCCGCACGGGTGGGTACCACCACTCTGCCTATTTCTGCCGTGAAGCAGTAATGCGTTTCGGTTTGAAGGGTGGGGCAGCCGTTGTAACTATAATTGAGACCTTAGAACTTATATCTCGAGGTGGGTGGCGCATTTACGTTGTAGATGTTTAAGGGCTCCAGTAACCACTTAACACCACGTGGGCTGTGAGGTCGTCCACCTGACTCCTTGTATTCCGGTCAAAAATCTGGATGATAAATGTGTTTAGCAGTTAGGTATTTAATTTGTATTTATGTCATCTATGCTTTACTTACTTCAAATTATGGAGTTTAGAGGTAAGGAGAACTGTCTCATATGGGAGAAGCTTGAAAAAGTGTTTCAGCACTAAATAAGATTATTTATTAGCCAATTATTAAAGTTCACTCTTTCAAATTGGTCTGCAAAAAACACCTTGGCTCTCTTTTCTCTTTTATTACTTTACTAATTACATAAATTTTTGATACGACTTTTTAGCGATCTAATTCGGTTTGTAATCAATTGAAAGCGTTATGGATGACGTTTCTTAATTATTTATGTTCAAAATTACTTCACAAACAATGGCACGCTACTAGCGTTTCATCCGTCATTGGTTATTATTATTTGTTAGGTAGGGGCTTCCCTTCTTAGTGTAGAAAAGTTGTCAACTCGCAACAGAACATCACATTGTGTATGTGCGTTTGGTATATTTTTTTATATCTTTGAAAATGAAGAGATACGTAGCATTTGCAAATGGTGTGCACACCGTTGCTGCCCCGCTAATTCGTCATTGTTATTGGAGAAAACTGACGTGACAGCGTCTGTAGGTTTTAATTAATCGTGACTGATTATCGCATTATCTAATTTTATTTAACCAGGGAAGTTTCTAAAAAATGTATCAAAATTAGAAAGTTTTGAAGCAACTCTTATTTAAGGATTAGCCCGGATGAATGCTTAAGCATTTAATAGGTGGACAACCAAGTCATCCACACAAGATCATGCTGTGAAGTTATCTTATAAAGACCAGTATGTTTCTCAGATTACGAGATTAAGTACGTACTTTAACAATAAGTTCATTCGGTATTTTGCGCAAGCTAGTAAAATATGTATAAGCCTAAAAATAGCACGCACGTTTAATAGTTGCGACTGCACACCAGAGTTTATATATGTGATATATACATAAATGTACAATAGAATAAAAAACGGAACTTTCTTTAAAAATGTTTATTCCCAAATATAGCAGTTTCATAAATAAATTGGAACACAAACTTTTTTCTATAAAACATAACATCCAAATCAATATTGATATTTACATCTGACGGATATTATCTTGAGTTTGTGATTTTCGAATCAAACGCTTTTCAAAACAGCCACAGGCATGTATAATAATCAAGTAGTAATAATCCATTAATATAATGCATTGTAACGTTTTGCTTAAATAATTCATTATAAATGTACTTACTTAAAACAAAAACCTACAACAATTGGTTTTAGATTTAACAATTTTTTATAATATCAGATTAATTAAAAATGGCTTGACCGAAACTGTCGGAAATTGTAAATGCTAGTTTACCACAAAATCACATTAAAAACCTATATACCTACCGTTAGATTAAATACGTTGATTATAAAAACAAATAACGAAACATTCATGGCTCTCAAATTACCCGATCAACAAAATGCATTCCTGGAGTAACTGAGGTTCTCCATAACTAATAATGATTCATTGAAACATACAAATTTTAAATGACACTTAACCGATTCCAGATCATAAAAGTTCAACTACCATAACAAACTATTCATCTAACACAAGCACTATATTCCACATTCTCATGCAATCGAACCAATAAACAGCCTTGAAATACCTACCTAAAATATCTTAAGCCTTTAATGATTATAATAATAATGTAATTTTTTTACTTTAAATTTAATTGATTTTGTAACAAGCACTACTATGATTCTGTAGCTGGCGGAGCAAATTGTATAACAGAAGTATGACGCACAGCCGGAGTAATTTCTTCGTTTATGTGAGGAATAAATTTACGTTTTCTAGGCGGTAAATCAGACGGCAACGAAATGTAATGTACGGGGACCGCAGCTAATGATGTCGGCGTATCGTTGACTTGAGTTGACGATGGCATCATTGAAGCCACTGAAATACTGGGACATCTAGGTGATGGCGGTGAACTAGGTGGAGTAGGAGGAAGCTGTTGCAAAGCAGCTTCAACCAAGTCACACATCACTTTACCATCGGCAGCCATTGGTGTTGTACTCTGTAAAGGTGCGGTGCGGGGGGCTTCCGCGCCATGTTCTTTGTAAATATGGGCTTCCATTTGTTTTTTTGTATTAAATGTACCGTCGCATACAGTGCAACGATAACAGCGCTCGCCAAAATGTTGAAAACGATGTAATTTGAGAACATGATTATAACCAAAGTCCCTGAGACAAATTTCACAAGTATAGGGTCGCTCTCCCGTGTGGGTACGAGAATGTACTTTAAGCTGTTTAGAGCAGGTGAAGCCCTTTCCGCATCCAGGTGCAGGACAACGATAGGGTTTCTCACCTGTGTGGGTCCTTAAATGTATGACCAGTTGACCAGATTGTATGAACGTCTTATGACAATGTGGACATGCGTGCGGTCTCTCGCCGGTATGGATTCTAGCATGTCGGTGAAGTTTTCCGGAATGCTCGAATGCCGCATCACAAACATTGCACCGATACGGCCTCTCCTTTGTGTGAATACGACGGTGTACTTGCAAATTTTCTTTCACACTAAACATTTTATGGCAATATTCACATTCAAATGGTCGCTCGCCAGTATGGGTTCGGTAGTGGCGCACGAGTCGTGCAGGCACAGCAAAAGTCTTATGGCACACGTCGCAGCGATGTGCATCAGCAGTAGAACGATGGGATCGTGCGTGTGCTGTAAGCGCACTGCGAGTGGACAATGTCAAACCACACTCGCCGCACTGATGAACTCGCTCCTCGTCACCTGAAGAACGAAATTGTTTCGTTTGAAAAATAGGTAATGATTCCATTACTTCAACTAGCACGTTAATTAACTGGTTAAAAGGTATCGGTAAAACGCGACGCCCGTTCACAGTACAGTGTCTGTTGTGTGTGGCGTGCAGCGAGCAGGAATATCAGGATGCACCGATATAATACGGCCAAAGAGGGGCAGATGAGGCAAGAGGGGAGCGGAGCGTGAGCCGAGTGAATGTCCTCTGATAGCACGTGGAGGCCTGAACCGCGGTATTATCGCGCCGAAACCACGGTACTGGCCTCCACGTGCTCGGGCCGCCGACCCCAATGTCCGCACTGATACCTCCCTTCACATCTTGCCTCACCCCTCAGCGTTTACAATTTTATTTACTTTAATTACCTATACTTTAATACCTGCTGGCTGCCAATATCTAATTAATATTTAGAATAGGAATAATTGTTGTATTACATAAATACCTAAGCCTCTACCATTTTATCTAATTTCGCCATTAATTCTAAAAACAATTGTTTTTGTACTGTCTTCAATTTACAAATTTACGGGTTTTAAAGATAGAACTAAGAGTCCCACGTACCGCAGATAATACGAGATGAGGTATAATATGCCATAATTAGGTTGATAAATAAATAAGAATAATAAATAATAATCGAGTCACAAATTATAAAACTAATGGTTAAAATGAGTTACTTAACAAGTCATTTATTTACCGAAAATATTGTTTTGTATAATAAAATTAATTAATTTAGGTGGCAACGTTAAACGATAACGGCTAATCAATAAAGAATCACTTACCTATCATGTTATACAATGATGATTTGGATGCGAAGCGTTAACGTTTCTAATGTTGGCGTAGGTTGTGATTCATATACAGCGATCCGTGATCAAAAAACACATGCACTCGACCGACAGTCTGCGGCCGACTGCCGTCGCTTGATCGCTCAACTGAAGACTCCCGGCCCGGAATGCTCGCGCGTGGCGTCATGACATAACGCGCCAGCGCGGCTTCAAGTCGAATCTCCATCAAGCCACCCGTTTCATCGTTTCACTCCTGTGTCCTAAATATCCACTGTAAAACGGGTACATCCTTAACATCCTTACCTACGAGGTGTTTCTCTTTATCAAAATTCTCAATTACACGAATGACTATTGCGTTTTCGGATGTTTTAATAATTATGTGGTTAACATGGGTTAACCCTAAAACATGACGTCGAAGTTTAAATTTTATGATAAAACAGGTTTTAATCACCATCCACCCTTAAAATCGGAACAAATAACTTTTCCCGGCAGAAATAAGCTGAACAGAGCACTTAGATGCCCATGCGGACTCTATAATAATAATAATTTATTTATGCTAAATCACTTCTTCTTCTTCTTCGTAATTTCCTCATTACTGAGGGTCGTGACCACCTTGGTCCAGTTTTTGCATTAGCTTCCTCCAATGTTGCCTGCATTCGGCCTATTTAATGGCGCCCGGGACGCTGGTGTTTGTGGCCTCCTTAACAATGTCCGTCTACCTCGTTGGCAATCTTCCTCGACTTCTCTTTACTCTACACTACATAGTATAAAACAAAGTCGCTTTGTCTGTCCCTATATCTGTCTGTCCTTATGTATGCTTAAATCTTTAAAACTACGCAACGGATTTTGATGCGGTTTTTTTTTAATAGATAGAGTGATTGAAGAGGAAGGTTTGTATATAAAATAACATCCATTAAATAGTGGAGAAATCTATAATAAATTACAGTCTCCGAAGCGAAGCGAGGGCGGGTTGCTAGTATATAATAGGCCCACTACCAGTAAAACACCACCTGCTTAATATTTATTTTCTTATTCTAAGTGTCAGAATTTTTACAATTTTTTTGTTTGTTAAAGTAGATAAAGTAGAAGAGATTTCTCCAGGAAACAAGTAGTTTCTTCGATACAATTACTTCAATACAATTTTTTCTCTTATTTTACAGTGCTTTTTTTTTTGTATGACCCCAAATAAATAAATTCGAAAACAAATTGAATTATGACAACCTGCTGATAAGATGCTCTCACCGCTTATAAATCGATGCCCAGGTAACGCCAGGAAAAATTCAGATCATGATTACAATGCCTCTTTTTAGCTTTTTAATTTCTGGGTTTTTTTAGGAGCACATCGTTAAGTAAGACTCACACACTCATTAATTTATTGACTAGATACTAAAAGAAACTTTTTCTTCTTCTTCTTCTTTTTTGTTTTACCCTCCACCTTGAGAATCGTAACCATATATGATTTATCTCCATTTGCTTCTGTCCAGCTTCTGTTTAGTTCTGCTTCTGTTCAGTAGGTATATGGTTGTAGAGTTTTCCTGTTGTCTGTACAATATCTTTACACTACATTTCTTTACGCTAGAAACCGACCCCTAAAGAAAAAATTAAATAAACTAACAGATACCTAATTATTTGCTATGAACATAATGTACACATACTCTATACAATATTATAAATGGATGTTTGTGTGTTTGGAGGTTTGTTACACAATCGCGAAAATTGCGTGAACAGATTTCTATGAAATTCCGCAAAAATCAGTTGAAGTATATCTTGAATTAACACATAAGACCATGAACATGACCCGGACAACGCCGTGTGGGTATATCTGCTGTAATAAACACGACAGTTTCTTCGCTGATTCGTGATTTTACTTAAGTACCTGCCAATAAAACGACGCGACTGGTAATGGACAAGAAAGTGACACAATCCCGATAAAATGCAATGTAGAACACATTACATTGTATAAATGATAAATAATATTCTATTATACTCGTAATATTCTATTGCTCGTGAAAATCATCAACAAACATATTTCGGTTTTTCATAATATAGTCTTAATCTCGAATATAAAGGTTGGTATTATGGTGTTTTCTGTTCATTGCTGTTGTTTAATTTAAGGTACCATACGTACCTACATACCATATGTACCATTCCGTTGTTATGTACCTACCATAACAATCAATCAATACCTATGAACTTACGTAGGTCGCGAATACGGTTCGAGAGGAATATAATACTAACTTTAAAAGTAGGTAATTATATTATTATTTTAGTATTATCATAACAATATGTAGGTAAGTAAAATGTTAATGATTAAAATTATAACAGAATCTACTTGCGTTATTACTTATTAAAAAATCGTACTCTAATAATTAAATATCTAAATACTATGTCTAAAAATCAGAAGTAAGAAGTAATAATTCTGTATTTGTGTTTGTTTTAAAACCTGTCACCACAAACACGGTAGGTAGACGGTACGCGTCGCGTTTTGTTGAAGGTTGGATGGAATGTCATAGCTGGATGTGTGCGGTGTGAAGGAGATGGGGTGGGGCAAGCGGTAGCGTTCGACACGTGGAGGCCCACCGCGGTTTCGAAGCGCGCGTGTGAACTCTCAACAACAGAGCGCGTGCGTAGACTCAACTCCTCTCGCCGTCTCCCCACACTTGATTCTTTGGTAATGTCTGTCTACCGTAACATAACAACAACTATGTTAAGCAAGTTTAACTCTACCTATAAATCATGTCGATTTATGTAAGTTATTGAAGTGTAAACCATACTAAATCGAGATTCTAGTAACTATGTAGTAAACAACTTACTAAGGTACACAGTGCCTACCCCAGGGTGTAACTAAATTGGAGAAATATAATTAAACATTCAAAGCAGTTTCCAAATTTTGTATAATAAATGAATTCGATAAAACGAAACTATGTAACAAAATACATATTACGTAACATGACATAGTGTATGTAGGTAACAAAATAGGTACATACTAAAAATATCTTCTCTGAACGGTATCTATAAAACAATGATGCTGTCTGTTTGTCCGCTTACTTTTAAACCCTGCAGTCGATTTCGATATGGTTTTCATTAATAAAAATAGGATAATCGAGGAAACTTTGAGTGTACATTATACAAAATTTTGTTCAAAATGGCGGAACTATAACTGTATTGTATCAAAAAACTAATTAAAGTACAGGTTGATTTCCTTCCTAATATTGTTTTAGTTCACTAAGATACAGAGGCAGACGAACTCACGGCAAAGTTGGTGTTAACTGGTTACCGCAGCTCAAAAAACACCACAACGAGGCAACATCAATATCGTAACTACACGGACCCATCTTAACGCTAATTAAGTCAATGTGTAATGTAGTACATATATCCCATGAAGGAAGTTTCTAGTTCGAATGAAAACAACTGTCTTGTCCAAGTGTTGGTTTAATACTACCTACTTTCTTATTACAAATGACATGACTTATATGTACTACACTACAAAAGTCTCCAAATATCTTAGAATATAGTAATGTGATTTTATATGGAAACTAGCTTTCGCCCGCGACTCCGTCCGCGTGGAATAGTTACTTTGGCATACCGCTAAATTTTACCCCCACTTCATTTACGTAGAAAGTGAAAATATTTTTTAATTATAGAATGTTAAGAAGTTATTTAAACCCCTATTTTTAAACATCCTTTATTAGTGTTCCACTTACCGTGTCCGGTCTAACCATAATGCTATATAGCCTTCCTCAATAAATGGGCTATCTAACACTGAAATAATTTTTCAAATCCGACCAGTAGTTCCTGAGATTAGCGCGTTCAAACAAACAAACAAACTCTTCAACTTATAATATTAGTATAAACCAGCGGTGTAGTATATCTAAATGTATAAAAAAAACAATTAGCGTAGACTACCTCGCGTATCGTACGTTGTTGATACTAATAAGAGAGAAACCTCCTTGAACTACCAACAACAAATAACTAAAGTTTCATCACAATCTTATGAGCGATTTAGGAATGCATAATGCATAAGTACATGATACTGTAATAAACAATTACATATTCGAATCTGATTATAATTCATACATCAAGAAATTTGTTTGTGGACAAGTACCTAGTACCTATGTGTACAATAAAAGTTACATACTTACCTATGCGTCTAATTGCGGTATTTCGATTCGGGGATTTCGAAAAGTTGGAACCTTTTCTCGGGATTTAAGCTGAGGCATCCGAACATGTCCTGAGATGAAACCTCAAGAAATTCACAAAACTAACCGCATACTTTTTTGTTCTGTTTTGATGATGATGAGTGAACGAGCTCCAACTAATATTATATGGTTTCAGAAGATACGACATCAATGCCGAAATCCACCTATAGACATGAAATCAAAGTCTCCTCAATATAATTATGTAAAATTGTTACAGTTATGCTACCTTCTAAAACCGGAGCGCATGACAGCTTCTTGGTAGAAAAACCGAATGGTGGTACCTACCAATGCAGGTTTACTACACTACTTACCACCAGTAAATACGCTCTTCATTACTGATCGTAGAGCGTATTGAGTGGTAATCGCAAAATTGTAATAATATAAGCGGTGAATGTGGATCATGAAGACAAGTCGTCGTGGCCTAAAGGATAAGACGTCCGGTGCATTCGTATCTAGCGATGCAACGGTGTTCGAATCCCGCAGGTGGGTACAAATTTTACTAACGAAATACGTACTTAACAAATGTTCACGATTGATTTCCACGGTGAAGGAATAATATCTATACTCTATACTAATATTACTAGCGACCCGCCCTCGCTTCGCTTCGGAAACATTAAAACACACATGAAAAAAAAAAAAAAAAACAAATATTTCCTCTTTATAATATTAATAATATTATTATTAGTTATTATTATTAGTATAGATAAAGAGGAAAGATTTGTTATAGGCTCCGAAACTACTGGACCGATATGAAAAATTCTTTTTCCATTAGAAGCCGACATTGTCCCTGATGAACATAGGCTACTTTTTTTTAATTTTTTTTTTTTTTCATTTGTGTTTTAATGTTTCCGAAGCGAAGCGAGGGCGGGTCGCTAGTCGTGTAATAAAAATCAAACCTGCAAAATTATAATTTGCGTAATTACTGGTGGTTAGGACCTCTTTTGAGTCCGCACGGGTAGGTACCACCACTATACCTATTTCTGCCGTGAAGCAGTAATGCGTTTTGGTTTGAAGGGTGGGGCAGCCGTTGTAACTATACTGAGACCTTAGAACTTATATCTCAAGG